AGGAACTTGAACATAGTGTTAACTGTAGAGTGGTAAATATTTGTTCTTTCTGAGGTCTGTCTGGACGAGCCTGAAGAAGGGACTACAAATCCGGAGAATGAGAAGTATGCCAAGTGGAAAACGCTGATGAGATGGCCTGGTGTTACATTCTGGCTTTTATGTCAAATGTGTTTCAACATTACCATCTGTCCATCAGTCTTGCTTATAACATGTTTCTCATCTCATGGACCAGTTGGCCACTAATATGGGGTTGCCAGACGGTAGGCTATGAGGGTTCTGATGAACATGTGCATAACCTCGGTCACTACAGTTAAGGATCATGATTTCAAGCTAATGGTGTAGCTCAATGAGCTGGAGGTTCTAGAAGCCGATATTGATGGAGAAACCTAGGTCGGTATTGTGCTCCAATATCTTCTGAACAGTTTTGTGCAAATCTACTTCAACTACAACATGAACAAGGTGTCATTGTCTCTTACGGAGTTGCTCGCGGGAGTCCAATTGGCGTAAGGACTATTTCGTCAGAAGGCCCAAATGATGATTTTGACGATAGATATCAACTAAAATAAAGGGGCGGTTTAATCGTGGGATTATGGAGATTAAAGTGGTATAGAATAATGATTTTTACAGTAGATAAGAAAAAGAATAGGATTAGTGGCACGCGTATATAAGTAGGTATATAAAACTTAAATTTGAAAACTGCACAAGCGGATTGCCAATCATGCAAAAGATCGGTAATGGAAAGCGTTATTATTATGATGTATAATTCGCTGAATATTTTGTTGTTGTTCTTTCCATGGGACTCAAGGGCTGAATTTATACATAGAAAAAAAATAGAAAGTTCGCCGTGACTATAAGCCAACTAAGGGTTGTAGAGAGGCCAACTCGACAAGAAGTCTTATGACTACCTGTCAAACCTTAAATTCATCCTAAAAAGCAGCTCACAAGCCACTCTCAGAAAATCAATTCAATTCAGGCACTGGAAACTGAAAATTGCAGCAAGGATCAAGCATTTTTTATGGAAACGCATTACAGTTACACTCCCAGTTGTTCTTTTGAAAAAGAGAAGGGTTGATATTGACACAATTTGTTCAATCTGTGGTGAGGCATTAGAGACAGTAGAGCATGTCCTATTTTCATGTTCAAGAGCTCTAAGACTTTGGGAACTCTCTCCAGTTCAATGGGATGGGATTTCTGGAAGCAATGACTCTTTTAAGGCTTGGTGGTATAAAGTTTGCTCTCTTGATCATTCCGAAGTAGCTGAAGCAAGGTTCCAACTATCAACATATATGCTTTGGTGGCTTTGGAAATCGAGAAATATCTGGATTTTTCAAAAAACCTTCATACCGATGTTCATATTGATCAAGATGGCTCATAAGGATTGGCTTGAATTCTCCCTTGCCTCTTAATTTTCTTTGTTCGACTTGTGGTTTTTATCTTTTACGTTGGGTTTAGTTTCCTTGCTAGGCTTTATAGCAGTGGTAGGGAGCTAAACTCTTTTGTTATTTACTCATTTGGTCATCCCTTTGTGGAATCCTATTGTTGAGGCTCTAGGCCACCTTTATGTGTGTCTCTCATTTCTCACTTTCTCGGTATTGTTATGTACTTTGTATTCGAACTATGTTCTCCTCGAGTTTTAGAATAGTTATCTCTGTCATTTCGGGAAAAAAAATTAGGAATATGTTATTCGTTATAGTAAAAAGTTTATCTTTTCTGGTTTGTTAGTAAACAATTCATATATTCTAGAACCAAAGCTTCCCCGTTTGATACAAAATAAAGTTCATAATCTATCATCTAATCCAAATAAGAGAAAATAACATTTCAAAATGAATAAAACATATTTTTGGCATCTTAGACTGAGTCATATTAACCTGAGAAGAATTCAAACGTTAATAGCCGTTGGGCATGTGGGTGTTGGGTTCTACTAGGAACGTCATTGATATGCCATCCGAATCTAACGAATTAAATCCCAATGCAGCGGAATCTATAGTTAAGATTAGGACATTACCGTTTAAAATTTTGCTGACTCGAAGACGCTGTAGATTTCCTCCTCGGAAGATCGTCTAAACTGCAATATTCATTGGGCAGCCGAACTAGGCCTCTTCGGTTGATCATGGGTCGTCGGGATGTGGTCGGGTCGCGATCGGGTAACCGAGGAGCGTCGCGCATCGGGCGCGGTCACGTGCACGTCGGGTGCTGTCTGGATGCTGTTGTGCGTGGGGCGCGGTCCGCAGGTCGCTGGCGTCGAGCACTGTGGACGAGGATGCGCGTCGGGCACTGCGGATTGCTCGCCTTCATGCGCGTCAGGTGCTGCAGATGCGTGAGTGGCGTGCAACGTTATATCGCCTGGGGCATGCGGCTATCTCGCGCGTTGGGCTCTGCGCGCTAACGTGCCTGCGAGGAGCGTCCGAAGACTGTGGGCGTGTGCGGCAAGGCACGGGCGCGCATATTCTTCGAGTGATGGCTGTGCGCGAGCAGGGATGACGATGCAGGGTGAAGCCGACGAATGGCTCGAGCTTCTGGGAGGTCGCGGTGCTGCACCTGGTGGCGTGCGGCTGTAGAGATTGACTCGCGGCTGCTTGTGGCTTCGGCATGACTGTCAAGCAATTTCCGGCGACGATGGCAGCTGATTCCGGCAATTTTCGGTGGCTGACAAATAGCCAGAATTTATGTATATACATGTTCGAGATATATTGTACCCTAAAGTTTTCTAATGTATGACCTTATAATCCTACTTTTAATAACCTTGGTGGTGCAATTAATCGAAACTCCCAAACTCTTAATACATATAAAACTCAATTTTTTCTCTACCAATAGGATTAGAAAAATCGGCTCTTACACACATACACAAGAGGTTATGACATGATGTATTTATAGGCTAAATCCGAGACCTTAAAGAGGTGCCAAATATGGGCTTTTCCAACTAGGGTTAAGAAACCTTATATTCTTAAACTCCTTTCCCTTTTAGGTAACCTAATTCGTTCCGACACTAATTACACAACAATTTCTGAAATACATTTTTCTTCCTCCATTAAAACCACCTCCAAATATATCAATGTTCTTAATATCATAGCGGACAAGTGCATATGTTGATAATACCGAATATTGGTGATTAAAACTTTATGGTACCTTTTGAATACCTTTTTTTACTAAAATATTAATTTACACCAGTTTCATGACAAAAAAATATTGATTTCAACAGAAAATAACAGATAGAATTTCAGATAAAAAAATCTGGATACACAGATTGTATTTTTAGTTTATTAGTTTCTTTATTTTTTTTTTAATTTTATATTTACATATGGGAAAGTTTTATTCTTAATTTCAATTTATGTACATTTTTATTAAATTTTAATCAACCTTATATCAATTAAAATTGATTTTATACATTAACTATATTATAATAACTGATCGCAGTCAAATCACTTAACTATTCTTGAATCAACTTCTCCAATCAACCTGGGTCATTCTAAGGGCATACTTGTTTATAAATTATTTCATCACATTTAATTAATACTCAAAATCTAACTCAATTTTAACTTAATCCCATTATCTTTAATATTGTTCATATAATTAAAGAATATAAATCAATCATTCTTATACATCACATCAACTTTAATTCAGTATTCATCCACTTACATAATTTTAACTACCTATCATTTTCAATCATTTTTCTCTTACTTTTACATCAAATCAATTTTAATTATTTTATTTTAAATATTATTTTAATATATTTTTAAAATCCCACTAACAACTAAGCATACCACCTTTGTCAAAATTAACTCTGGTTAACCAAAACAACTCATTTTGGACAAATTATTTTGTAAACAAGCCAGCCCTAAGATTTTAGCTCGACCTAATTTATATCGACTTATTCATCATTCCAGGCCATAACTGGAAATACTCTAGTTGAACCTGATTTAAACGTCTTGAACACCAGTGAGCTAGCCAAACACATCAAGATTAATCAGCGCATCAATTGCTTATACAATATAATTGTTTGGCACGATATTTAGGGTGTGTTTGTAAAAGAACAAATTCACTCAAATTAACTCAAAGGGAGTTTTTTAGTTAACTATGGTTAATTTAGAAAAAGTGGTATAATTAGTTGGTACCGAGATTTTGAGTTTATATTAAAGTAATATTTATAGTAAAATAATTAAAATTGATTTGATGTAAAAGTAGGAGAGATATGATATGAAGTGATGATTAATTAAAATTATGTGAGTGAATTTATAGTGAATTAAAGTTGATATGATGTGTAAAAACATTAGTTGTTATTATTTAATTATATTGATAACAGTGAGGATAGTGAGGTTGAATTAAATTTTGAGTATGAATTAATTTGAATTGAATTTATTCTTTTACAAATATAACCTTACACCAAGACATGCCCAAAATATAACTAATACTCGCTAATGAATCAAAATGCGATCCCTATTATTATTATCAGTTTTGCTATGGAGCCATCAGATGGTTCGGCTTATGGATTCATTCATACTTATTCACCAATAAATGCACTTTGGACATGTGTCAATACATTAAGTGGTGGATAACTCCATAAAAAAACCATCCGATGACTCCATAAAATTTTTGCTAGTCCATACACCCAAAATTAAAAAAACGGTTAATTCTTCAAAACTCCCCAATGCACAATTCAACTTCCTTGTCAGTCCCCACCACATTTAAACTTCCTCTGAACTCCCTAAATCCAATTTCTCTTTCCAAATCACTCCCCATATATATATAACTCTTATTATTATTCATTTATTTTTCTCTAAAATCATAAAAAGTTCTCGTCTCTCTCTCTTGACATCTTCCTCAGCTCTCTCTCTTCCCGTCTCTCTCTCGCCGGTCTCTCAATTCCCGTCTTTCTCTCTGAAAATTCCATCGCTCTCGCCTCCCTTTCGTTCGTCTCCAATTGAAAATTTCATCGCCATCGCATATCATCTCTCTTTCTCTCCGGGAAACCCTCCGTCTCCGACCAAAAATCCACGAACACAATGACGGGGTCGAAAAAGAAATCCATATCGGATAAACCATCTTCCTCTTCTAAAGTCGTAAGCAAGGTGAGATTCTTTTACAAAATATTTGATTCTATTGAACTCGAAAATTTGGGAACTTTTACAAAATTTTGATTTTTCTCTTGAATTCGATGTTTTTCAAAATTTGGGATTTTTGTTGATGGGATTTTATTTCTAAATTAGGGACCACCTGAAGATTCCAAGTTCATCGAGGCCTGGAAGAAAGTGATGCCGAATATGGATCCACCGAAAACCCCCTCGGCCTACATGGCTCCTCGCCCACCGACCCCAACCACAATCCCCTCAAAGCTGACCGTCAAATTCGTTCTTTCATACAATTCTGTGTTGTCCGGCAAAGAGGTTCGCTCTCACATACTCGCAACCCTTGAGATCTCTTTTCTTTTTTCTTTCTTTTTTTTTTTATTTCCATTATATAATTTACATTTCGTATTTCTGTTGCTGTGTCTTGTTTGAATGTATAAAACTTGATATTGCTCTTGTTCGGAGTTCTTTTAAGAAGCAAATTTGGTCTCTTGTTTCTGTACTTTTTATATTTGCCAAATTTTTGGTGTGGTATATATTATCTTGTAGTGGACGAAGTTCTATTCATCTTTTGGTGGCCAGAAAAAGTCTAGTGTTTAGATGAATTTTAAGGAGAACTTGAGTTATGCAATCACAATTTGTCGTTGATTTCTCTCTGAACCAAACCACTACAGTTCCAGAAGTTCTAAGCTGCTAAAGTTTGTATAAGTGCATCTAAGATATATTGGTATTGATCAACTCTTGGTTAATTTTCCATAATTTATCTTAAAAGTTGTATTAACTAACCAGTGTCATGGTTAACTACTCAGAATTATTCTCTAGTCCTGTGTTATTCTTGGCCGGCATTGCACAACAACTTTTAGAACTTGGAAGCACCATAAGCTCATTAATGGTTGATTTTTTATATCAATCAGAACCTTAAGGAACATTCTATTAGGACCTATCAAGCTGCTGTAAATTATTCAGATACTTGAAATTTCATCTTTTAAATTTCAATTGTGGCTCTGGTGCTGCCTAGTTTGTTTTTGAAGGATGCAGCTCATTTTTATTTTTCCTTTAAAATTTTATAAAAGCGTTGCATTTTTCATAGTTCCAATAACTTCTGCTTATGCTTGATCTGAAGTTACTGATGTGTCTTTTCAGGTTGATATGGTCATTATCCCTGCAACTACTGGACAGATGGGTGTTTTGCGTTGTCACATACTGACAATTGCGGAGCTTAAACCTGGGATTCTATCTGTTCACGAAGGCAATGATGTGACTAAGTACTTTGTGAGCGGCGGTTTTACTATCATCCATGCAAGCTCTGTTGCCGATATTGCGGTTGTTGAGGCCACCCCAGTTGACCGCATTGACCTGAACTTGGTTCAGACAGGCCTAACTATTTACCAGCATAAGCTAAACTCAGCGACAACGGATCTTGAAAAAGCTGAAGCTCAAATTGGGGTCGATGTACACAGTTCTCTCAATGTTGCTCTTACTGGTTAAGGTGTTAAACACATGGTTGATTTAATTCAAGTCTTTCTACGTATCAAATGTTTTTTTTTTTTTTTTGGTTTTTATGCCTGTTGGAATTGGATCCTTTTGTACCATTTGATGAAGAAAGCTGATTTTTGGCTTGTTATGAAACAAATGTCTCAGGGTCTTGATGTGAAGGGATTTCTTCGAATAAAATTTCTATGACATACTCGGTTTTGTTGCTTTTCTTTTTACTAGTTTTGTAAGAAATCAATTTGAAAATTGATAGGGGTGATATATAGTCTGTGCTCTGGTTATATGGAATCAATATCTTGAAGCATTTATTTGATCGACTTATGTGCCTTTTGTCTATGATAAACACACAAGCTACTAAATATGATGAGGTAGAACTCAGTTTATGTTGTGATCTCATACTATCATATTGTTTTGTTGTATTTAAGCTACACAAGCTAATAAATATGAAGAGGATTTATGTTGTGATCTCATACTATCATATTGTTTTGTTGTATTTAAGCTACAGACTTTCTCGTCTTGTAGGCCTCACTCTGAATTCAAGTGAATAGTTGTTTCAGTCGGTTAGTTAGTCGCTTGTAATTATGTGTTTTAATAGAATATGTCTTTCTGAAAAATAAAAAATAAAATTTGATGTCTTTCAAAATTTGGGATTTTTGTTGATGTTTTAGTACCAGATATCGAGTCTTTAGTATCAGATATCGAGTTTTTAGTACCACTTGTATTGAATACATAAAAAAACCAAATTTCGGTCACAAATAATGTTTATACGACCCATAATCACTCTCACATTAGTTTATATGAGATTTTAAATGTTTTTAATTGAGTTTAATCACAAATTGGTCATGAACTCTACACACTAATGCAATAACACTACTTAATACACTTCATCTCATTGAATGGTACCAGTTTTGACGGAAATAATACCGCATCTTCTTATACGTGGTACCTCTTTTTGATCAATTAGTACCTACATTTGGTCAAACAAAATAGATTATTTCAATTTTGGTCAACATTTACAAAAAGTAGTACCAGACCTAGAGTATGATAGTACCACTTTATGGTGTTTTAGTACCTGATATTGGATCTTTAGTACCACTCGTAATGAACACATAAAAACATCGAATTTCGGTCGCAAATGATGTTTATATGATCCATAATCACTCTCACATTAGTTTATATGAGATTTAAAATGTTTTTAATTGAGTTTAATCACAAATTGGTCATGAACTCAACACACTAATGAGAAAACACTACTACTACACTTCATTTCATTGAATGACACACTTCATCTCATAGAATCATCATACATGACTACTCCAAATTTTACGTATATGTTTTAACTTCCACTTTTTTTAATCCAAATCATGCATGAACGATCCACGTGTCATAGTAGACATGAAGGATTAGAGAAATCACGATTCTGAAAATAGTACATGTTTTAGCAAAAATAATACCTCATCTTCTTCTATGTGGTACCTGTTTTTTATCGATTAGTACCTACTTTTGGTCAACCAAAATGGATTATCTCAATTTTGGTCAACATTTACAAAACGTAGTACCAGACCTAGAGAATGATAGTACCACTTTATGGTGTTTTAGTACCTGATATTGGGTCTTCAGTACCACTCGTAATGATCACATAAAAACACCGAATTTTGGTCGCAAATAATGTTTATATGATCCATAATCACTCTCACATTAGTTTATATGAGATTTAAAATGTTTTTAATTGAGTTTAATCGCAAATTGGTCATGAACTCAACACACTAATGAGAAAACACTACTACTACACTTCATTTCATTGAATGACACACTTCATCTCATAGAATCATCATACATTACTACACCAAATTCTACGTATATGTTTTAACTTCCACTTTTTTTAATCCAAATCATGCGTGAACGATCCACATGTCATGGTAGACATGAAGGATTAGAGAAATCACGATTCTGAAAATAGTACCTGTTTTAGCAAATATAATACCGCATCTTCTTCTACGTGGTACCTGTTTTTGATCGATTAGTACCTACTTTTGGTCAACCAAAATGGATTATCTCAATTTTGGTCAACATTTACAAAACGTAGTGCCAGACCTAGATTATGGCAGTACCACTTTATGACGTGTTAGTACCAGTTATCGTGTCTCTAGTACTACTTGTAATGAACACATAAGAAGACCTAATTTCGATCGCAAATGATGTTTATACAACCCCTAATCACTCTCACATTAGTTTATATAAGATTTTAAATATTTTTTATTGAGTTTAATCGCAAATTGGTCATGAACTCGATACACTAATGAGAAAACACTACTACTAGACTTCATTTCATTGAATGACACACTTCATCTCATAGAATCATCATACATGACTACTCCAAATTCTACTTACATATTTTCACTTCCACTTTTTTTCATCCAAATCACGTGTGAACGATCCACGTGTCATGGTAGACATGAAAGATTAGAGAAATTACGATTCTGAAAATAGTACCTGTTTTAGCCAAAATAGTACCGCATTTTCTTCTACGTGGTACCTGATTTTGATCGATTAGTACCTACTTTTGTAAAGAAAAATTGATTATTTCAATTGTGGTCAACATTTACAAAAAGTAGTAACAGTCATAGTGTAAGACAGTACCACTATTTGGCGTGTTAGTACCAGATATCGTGTCTCTAGTACCACTTGTAAAGAACACATAAAAAGACCGAATTTCGGTTGAAAATGATGTTTATACGACCCATAATCACTCTCACATTAGTTTACATAAGATTTTAAATGTTTTTTATTGAGTTTAATCACAAATTGGTCATGATCTCGATACACTAATGAAAAAACACTACTACTAGACTTCATTTCATTGAATGATACACTTCATCTCATAGAAATCATCATACATGACTACTCTAAATTCTACCTATATGTTTTCAATTCCACTTTTTTCATCCAAATCACGTTTGAACGATCCACGTGTCATGGTAGACATGAAGGATTAGAGAAATCGCGATTCTGGTTATAGTACCAGTTATGGGCAACATAGTACCGCATCTTATTCTGCGTGGTACCTGATGTTGATCGAATAGTACCTACTTTTTTGAAGAAAAATTGATTATTTCAATTCTGCTCAACATTTACAAAAAGTAGTACCAGTCATAGTGTAAGTCAGTACCACATTATGGGGAGTTAGTACCAGATATCCTGTCCCTAGTACCATTTGTAATGAACACATAAGAAGACCGAATTTCGGTCGCAAATGATGTTTATACGACCCATGATCACTCTGACATTAGTTTATATAAGCTTTTAAATGTTTTTTATTGAGTTTAATTGCAAATTGGTCATGAACTCGATACACTAATGAGAAAATACTACTACTAGACTTTATTTCATTGAATGACACACTTCATCTCATAGAAATCATCATACATGACTTCTCCAAATTCTACCTATATGTTTTCAATTCCACTTTTTTTCATCTAAATCACGTGTGAACGATCCACGTGTCATGGTAGGCATGAAGGATTTGAGAAAATTGCGATTCTGATAAAAGTACCGATTTTGGGCAACATAGTAACGCATATTATTCTGCGTGGTACCTGATGTTGATCTAATAGTACCTACTTTTTTGAAGAAAAATTGATTATTTCAATTCTGCTCAACATTTACAAAACGTAGTACCAGTCATAGTGTAAGGCAGTACCACATTTTGGCGATGTAGTACCAGATATCCTGTCCCTAGTACCACTTGTAATGAACACATAAGAAGACCGAATTTCGGTCCCAAATGATGTTTATACGACCCATAATCACTCTGACATTAGTTTATATGAGATTTGATATTGGGTTAATTAAGTATAATCACAAATTGGTCACGAACTCAACACACTAATGGAAAAACACCTTAAATACACTTCAACTCATTGAATGGTACCAATTTCTACGGAAATAATACGTCTTTTTCTTCTACGTAGTACCTGTTATTGATCGATTAGTACCATCTTTTGTGAAGAAAAATTGATTATTTCAATTCTGCTCAACATTTATAAAGTAGTACCAGTCATAGTATAATGCAGTACCACTTTATGGCGCGATAGTACCAGATATCATGTCCCTAGTACCACTTATAATTAACACATAAGAAGACCGAATTTCAGTCGCAAATGATGTTTATACGACCCATAATCACTCTCACATTAGTTTCTATGATACTTGATATTTGGTTAATTAAGTTTAATCGTAATTTGGTCACGAACTCAACACACTAATGGCTTTTTCTTCTACGAAGTACTTGTTATTGATCGATTAGTACCAACTTTCTGGAATGAAAATGTAATACACCGATTAAAACTTCACAAAACCATTACATATATTGCAGTATAAAATGCCAATATATTGTACAAAAAATATCTCATAAAGTGTCATTTACTACCCACTCTTTGAAATGAAAATGGGTACACAAGTATGGACGAGATTGCATTTCCAAATGGCAAATTGCTGATCCCCTTTGTATAACGATGCATATACTCTCCATTCACAATCCGTATCGCTACAACAAATGATGACCTTCTGCTTGTCATTTTTCCGATACTTAAAAGACCGCTTATTTGCAATCGCGTAGTTTTTGACACTCTTTCGAAATTCGTCGGCCCCACTGAATATCTGCCCCTCTCCTTTGATGCAAGATCTCCAAGAATCGATCGATTTATCTTGCAACAGCTCATCTTCTCCCTCCGAGAAATCATTAGACTGTACGTTTTCCCTGCGTTCATGACAAAATAGTACAAAAATTTATAAATAATGGAACTAGTTAAAAAATTAATGACCTAGGATATGATACGACTATACCATATTTCAATAATAAATTCATTAATATTATGAAAGCAACATTACTTGTTCATGTTCATCGGGAAGGATTGAACTCCATCATCCGGTCTTTCATTTCTTTCCATGGCAATTATCTCTATAATATTTAATATCCAACAAACATGTAACCGAATCATGTTCTTCACATCCTCATCATCCAACAAACTAACTCTCTTTTTTTCCTTTGGCACAATATAGCATAGCACGACGAATTCGAAATTAACGTTCGGCCACCTCTTTGATATGAGAGTGTACAGTTCGTCAAGCATTGATCCAATGTGCGTAGAGAACACAAACAATTCGTTCTTGTACGTACAACTCCCTAGTATATCACTTCGTGCCCCTTCCATGTATCTAACAATAATTGGATAAATAAAAAAAAACTTCACATTTTCCAGGAAAATATGGTACAAAACAGTATTAAAGTGGTACTATATACATGCAAACAGAGGTACAATAATCAAGAATAGTGGTACAGTGATCATTCCCACCTTATGTTGTTGTTTTAGGGTGAATAACACATTACATAACCTAACAATAGCATCAATTTCGATTACATAAACAAGAATAAAGAGATTTTGATCAATTTAATTGATTTAGGGTTAATATGAACAACAATTCTTAAAATTCAATCCTTAACAAATTAACCAAATATATATGAATTAAATATGATTTTTGGACTCCAAAATGCTCATATAATACATATATTACTTACTACTTCAAAATTTGGCCGGAAAAAGCACGAATATTGCCGGAAAAAATGAATTTTTGGGCGCACAAATTTGACGTCGGAATTACTTGTTTGGCCGGATTTGTTGTTGCCGGAGTTCTTCTCGCCGGATTTGGGTCGCCGGAGAGACTGACCTGCAAAAAAAAAAAATAGTCAGTCACTGGAAATGGAGGGAGACGGGAGAGAGACGGAAGAGAGATGGAGGGAGATGATGTATGGAAGAAGATTGATGTAATAAAATATTATTATGTGTAATGTTAGTGTAAGAGAAAACAAATAAAATAATATGTTAGTTCGTTGTAGTGGGATGATGTAATAATCATTTTATTTTTTATTTAATTTTAACACTAGGAAGTTAGGAGGAAGAAAATTAAGGGGGTAGGAAGTTAGGAAGAAAAAAAGGCCTAGAGACTGAGGAGGAAATTAAAAAGGGAGTTAGGGATTTTAGTGGAAATCACCCTTGAAAAAACGCTGGTAAAAACAGAAAAATAAAAAGAGAAAAAAAAAATATTTCAAGGCGCCCATATTATAAAGGAAGGAAATAGAGTGAGGAGCTATAGCCGGTGGCAGAGGATTTTGTATGGCGTGATTTGACTTAAAGCATTTAAGGCAGACAAAAATCAGCCAAAATCTTGGTCCTCCCTGACCCCCCTCTCTTTCTAACATGTCATTTCAAACACACTGTTATTTGACTAATAATAATCTCACCATTTTTTCCCCCCCTTTCTTCTGTGTATTATTAATGGTGGCCTGTAGAAAAACAGAGAGGTAAAACGAAAAGAAAAAAAGAAAAGGAAAAAGGTGGAAGAAAGAGAAGAATTGAAGAGGTACAGAAGGCAGCCAACACCATCATAAATTTAAAGCCACTTGTGCCCATTTCTCGATTTTCGAGCTAAAACTCATCACAAATCACAATTCCCTCTCTATATATCTTTCTCTCTCCTCACTCTCTCTCTCCTAAGCCCAAATTTCACAGTATTGTATTGTTATAGCTCTACCCTACTCATCCAATATACATACATACAGAAATAATAATAATAGTAAAGTAATACACACATCGATCACGATCTCCAAATCCAGCTCGTATCCTCCTCCGTGCTTTGTTGGGAGAAGGGAAAAAAAAGAAAAGAAATTCTCCTTTTGGGGCTTCATAAAGGCCATTTCTTGATATGTTCACACATCTTTCTTATCATCCAACTGCCTTGTGCTGCCCTGAAATCTAACCTGCTTCGTCTTCTTTTTTTCGTTTTCTTCAACAAAAAAAGTAAGGAGAAATAAAAGAAGCATTATTGATCCTTTCTGGGTTTTCTTAAAGTATTAGCCAGAAGAAGTTAAAATTATTTGGTGACTGACTCTGTGCGTTCTCGATATAAAGCTGAGAGATTCCCACAGTAATCAGTGCCGAAAGAAACTGAAAAACAAGGATAAATTTTGTTGTTTTGTGTGGGAAACCAGGGTTTTTTTTTTTCCTTCTCTTTTGCGCGTGGGGAAGGAAGGTAGATGTTTATCACCTTCCATTAGGTGAGAGTTTTGGAGGTTTTAGCCATCAGGAAAAACCAAATATTTAATACTATTAAGAGGGGTTTGTTTTTTTGTCAGTATGCATATGATTTACGCACACAACCCTGCCTAGCTTTCGTTGAGCTATTTTGGCTCTTCTACCATTTTTCCTTATCAAAATTCCCCCACAAGCAATCAATCCTCAATCAACATCGTTCACTTTACCATCCTCAAATTGGCACCAGCTGTTTTTAATAATTATCACTAATTTTAGCCTAACAATTTCCAAAAATAAGATCGTTTTCATCCCCCTGCTTAAAGAGGGAATCTTTGTCAGCCCAGTGGTTCGTCTCTGTGGGAAGAGTGTTTTTCAAGAATTGGCAGGCTGTCTTTTTTTCTGGGAAAGTTTGATTTTTTTTTTCATAATAAGTGAGAAAAAGAAATGGCTATGGTGGCACAACATCACAGAGAGAGCAATAGCGGGAGTCTAAATAAGCATCTTGATGCCGCCGGAAAATATGTGCGGTACACGGCTGAGCAGGTGGAGGCTCTGGAGAGGGTTTACACGGAGTGCCCCAAGCCCAGCTCACTGCGCCGCCAGCAGCTGATCCGTGAATGCCCTATTCTTTCAAATGTCGAGCCTAAACAGATCAAAGTCTGGTTTCAAAACCGAAGGTATTTTGACTTTTGAGCAGATAATTATGTCTTTCACTTGGCACTTCATGTATTTCTATCACCAAAGGAATTAGCCAATTATGGGTTATTCCCTATTTTTTTTTTCTGGGATGATCCTACTTTTTTTGTGCATCTTAATACCCCAAGTGTTTGTTAGATTCTTTTAGTTTGGGAATATAAACAGAATTTGAGGATTTTCCATTTATTTATCAGTTAACTTATTCTTCTTGTTTCCTTTTTTTTTTTCAATTAATAATGCTTGTATTTGATTATCATATCTTAATGATCTTATTATTCTTATTTATCTTATCAGAATAGTATTTAAACATTTTCTAGTTTGGGGATGAATTGGATTGTGGCTTTCAAATGAACAATTTAAAACATTGGACTTTGGATTTCCTTCCTAATGTAGGTGTCGAGAGAAGCAAAGAAAAGAATCTAGCAGACTGCAGAGTGTGAACCGAAAACTGACTGCCATGAACAAGCTGTTGATGGAGGAAAATGATCGCCTTCAGAAGCAAGTGTCCCAACTGGTTTGTGAAAACGGGTTCATGCGGCAACAAGTACACACTGTATGTAATTCAGTATTCTTAATCATTTTCTTGTTTGATCTGTACTATTTATGAATTGATTCTTTTTTCTCTTTGTTGAATGAAAAATACTGTCATCTGTTTCTAAAATGTTATAATTTTGTGAAAAAAAACTCTACAGGCACCTGGGGCTGATGCAAGTTGCGAATCGGCAGTCACGACTCCTCAGCATTCACTTAGGGACGCTAATAATCCTGCTGGGTACTTCATAAATTTTCCTATTTGCTCTTTAGTCCTTGTATTCCTGAATATATCTGGAAATTTCTCAATCTCATTTATTGAAAATTATGTTGTAATTTCTTTTGGCAGACTCCTCTCAATTGCAGAGGATACGTTGGCCGAGTTCCTTTCAAAGGCTACAGGAACTGCTGTCGATTGGGTCCAGATGCCTGGGATGAAGGTCTTATTAACTCATTCAAAAAATGCAATCCATTTTCTCAACTATTTTTATTTTTCCATTTTATTTTGAACCACAAATCTGAAGGGTATTTTTGTAATTATGTTCAGCCTGGTCCGGGTTCGGTTGGGATCTTTGCCATCTCACATAGTAGTTCCGGAGTGGCCGCTCGAGCCTGTGGTCTTGTAAGTTTAGAACCTACAAAGGTAAGCAAAACTGATTGTTTGGTAATCCCTCATGTTTTTTGATATTGACTTCTTTATATAGAAAATTTTACATTTTTTTTTTCTTTTTTTATTTGGCAGATTGTTGAGATCCTTAAAGATCGTCCGTCTTGGTTCCGGGACTGCCGGAGCCTCGAGGTTTTCACCATGTTTCCTGCTGGAAATGGAGGAACTATTGAACTTTTGTATACACAGGTGAATTTGGCAGGAATTTATTCCAATTATCATTTCAAACAAAAAAAAAAAAAGAAAGAAAAAAATGTTCTAGCATGTTGGGGTTCTGATTAACCCATCATATCTTTCAGGCATATGCTGCAACCACTTTGGCTCCCGCACGAGACTTTTGGACTCTCAGATACACCACTACCTTAGAAAATGGCAGTCTTGTGGTATAGTTATCTTTTGCGTCATTTGTTAAATATGTAATCAAAGACATTTTATTTTTCTGCTTATTTAGTAGTTGGAGGCTTGTATCATTTGCAAAAGAAGTGATTGCAATCACTATTGATTAAGTGATTCCCATTTTTGCAATCACTATAAACATTAGTTGTCACTTTCCAACTTCTGCTTCTCATTATGCTCAGCTGACCATAATTAAGATTCTGGATGACTGGTTCTTTTATATTCTGATTCTGCTTTTAGTTTATAACCTTAAAACACAAATGAAGATTGTATCAACCAACTTCGCCACTGAATGCACTCTCTAAACTGTAAAATTAAACTTCACTTGCTTTTTGCAAAACTGTCTGTGCATAGTTTGCTATGCTGGCATATAAATCCAATTATATATAGTATATAAAATTTGTAGCTTTTCTTTTATGATGTAAATTCAGTCTTTGATATTTTTCTCTTCATTTTATTCCCTTTCTAAATACAGGTATGTGAGAGGTCACTTTCTGGTACGGGAGCTGGCCCAAGTGCAGCTGCAGCTTCTCAGTTTGTGAGAGGCGAAGTACTTCCATCAGGATATTTGGTCAGGCCGTGTGAAGGGGGAGGATCTATTATTCACATTGTTGACCATCTTAACCTTGAGGTCATTATCGGCCCTTGTTCCTCTTACAAGCCATACAATTCTTTAAATGTCTTAAAATCTGATTCTCTTAACATTTATTCAACTTAATTTGCAGCCTTGGAGTGTGCCTGAGGTGCTGAGGCCACTCTATGAATCTTCGAAAGTTTTGGCACAGAGGACGACTATTGCTGTAAGTAAATATGCGTTAAGTTCGCTGATTTTTGCATCATAGTAATTTTTTTTAGCCTAGATTTTGAAATTTCTGTAAGTTGGGACTAAAGCTAAATCTCCAACATGGTGTTGTAATTTTCCCTCATTTTTATGTACTTTTTCCATGACAATATTAAGACTAATTAATGTTTATTTTCTACAGGCACTTAAATATATAAGGCAGATAGCCCAAGAGACGAGTGGCGAAGTTGTATATAGTCTAGGCAGGCAACCTGCCGTCCTACGCACTTTCAGCCAGAGGTTGAGCAGGTAAAATTTGATTGCTCACATGTCATGATTGCTTAAAGTTTTTTTTTTTTTTTTCGTCATTTTTAAAGTACTATAATATTTTTCTAATGCAGAGGCTTTAATGATGCTCTTAATGGGTTCCATGATGATGGGTGGTCATTGCTGAACTGTGATGATGGTGGAGAGGATGTAATAGTTGCCGTTAATTCGGTTAAACAAATGACAGGTGGTTCGGTTAATCTTTCTATGTTTGGAGGCGTGCTCTGTGCTAAAGCATCCATGCTCCTTCAGGTGGTGCCATCTTTTATATGTCTCATTTATCTTCGATGAATTAAGTTTTTATTATTATTATTTGATTTTTTCAATAAATAAAGGCGATCTTGTGATAAACCGTTTTTAATGTTAATTGTCTTCTCTAAGTATGATATCCACATTGCAGTTGCATGCATCTTTTGTTCTTTTCAAAATTTGTTTGAAAATATTCAAACTGGCTGATAAAATGCTTCATTTACCAGCATGTCCTAATTTTTTTTTTTTAATGTATGGCCAGAATGTGCCTGCAGCTGTGCTTGTTCGGTTTTTAAGGGAGCACCGTTNTAAGTGATCTCAAGGTTTGTCCTAATTACCAAAAATCCAGCTAGTTTCAAATGGGGTATCTTTTGAGACTAGCCCTAATATAAACAAATAATTAAAAAATGATAATCATAGTTTGATTTCTGATCTTATAATTTTGAAAATCCATTACACTATTACAGATGCTTGAAGTTATCCGGTTGGAAGGACATTCGGTCAGCCACGAGGATGCTTTTATGTCTAGGGACATTCATCTTCTGCAGGTCCTCTATTTTGTTACTTACGAAAGGTTCATTGATACGCTTTTTTATTAAAATTGTGCTCTCAAATTGTGATTTGACTCTTTGTATGCAGATGTGCAGAGGTATTGATGAGAATGCCGTGGGGGAGTGCTCTGAGCTTGTTTTTGCGCCAATTGACGAGATGTTTCCGGATGATGCTCATTTGCTTCCTTCTGGTTTTCGCGTTATTCCCCTCGATTCAAAACCAGTTGAGTAATGTATTATAGAAAAAAATACTATATTATATAGTAATTTAAATATTATTCATATAACTCAAAACCACTATCTTTAATATTATTCATATAATTTAAATAATACAAACCAATCATTCTTACACATCACATTAACTTTAATTCACTATTCATCCACTCACATAATTTTAACTACTTATTATTTCCTATCATTTATCTCCGACTTTTACATCAAATCAGTTTTAATTTTTATTTTAGTACATTCTTAAAATTTCATTAACAACTAACCATACCACATTTTTCAAAATTAACTATAGTTAACCAAAATAACTCATTTTGAACAAATTATTTCATAAACAATCAAGCCCTTATTTATCCAAAAGATTATTTAGCTAACCTTATGGCCTCTCTTTGGCAGGGTGACTTACAGGACCCATCCACTTCTCACAAAACACTAGATTTGGCATCGAGCCTTGAAGTGGGCCCCACAACTAGCAATAGTGCAAAAAACACTGCAGCATCATCATCATCGTCGTCTTACAGTCCGCGCGCAATATTGACCATTGTCTTCCAATTCCCGTTCGAGAGCAATTTGCAAGACAACGTGGCCTCCATGGCTCGCCAGTATGTTCGTAGTGTAATTTCGTCTGTACAGAGAGTGGCCATGGCTATATCTCCTTCTGGATTGAGCCCTGCAGCTGATCCTAAACTTTCTCCACCTTCCCCTGAAGCCTTGACACTCGCGCATTGGATTTGCCAAAGCTATAGGTACTTCTATTTGAAAGGACAAGATAGAGTATGCATGATATTATATTTTGATTTTTTTTTTTTTTTTTGGGTAAATTCTTAAGATAATTAGAAGTTGCTACATTGAATGTTGAGCTTAATTACCACAAAGAGAGGGAAAGAGAGAGTATGCATGATATATATTTTGAGATTTTTTTTGGGGGGTAAATTCTGAAGATAATTAGAAGTTTCTTTCCCTATAACTTTCACTTATCATTTTTTTTAACGGTTTGTTCTGCCATTAAATTCAGATTAACAATCTATTTACATACATGCAGCTATCATTCGGGTGCCGACTTGCTAGGGGCCGAGTCCACAAGTGGGGAAGGATTACTGAAATCACTGTGGCACCATCAAGATGCCATCTTATGCTGCTCGTTGAAGGTATTGCTTCTAAGTCTTGTTATTGTTTTTTAATGTTACTTTCTTGCTGCTGCCTAGTTATAAAAACTTTGAAAGTATCAATAAAAAGGTCACTACACTATTTTATTTGGGTCTAAATCTTTTTGGTATTACACAGGCTGTGCCAGTATTTTCGTTTGCAAATCAGGCTGGACTTGATATGCTCGAGACGACTCTTGTTGCACTGCAAGACATCACTTTGGATAAGATATTCGATGATTCTGGACGAAAGGCTTTGTTTTCCGAGTTGCCCAAGATCATGCAGCAGGTATACACTCCCATTCATCCAATTTTAATTTTTATAAATTATCCAAGTAGTATTTTCTAAATGACATATTTACTACTAATTGATAGAGACAACCCGTTTACGCTTCTCATTCGTGAAATTTCCGTCTGACATTGGTCTATGCTTTACAAAATTTGATAAAATTTCAAATTCATATCACAAAAATGTTCATGGGGGCATTTTTGCAAATCTTCAAAGCTTATTTTATGTAATAACATTAATCAACTCCTACATCTTTTATTTTACGTGTGCAGGGCTTTGCTCGCTTGCCAGGTGGCATCTGCGTGTCGACAATGGGCCGGCACATTTCGTACGATCAAGCCATTGTCTGGAAAGTTTTTGGGGCAGATGAAAACACGGCCCATTGCCTAGCCTTCTCCTTTGTGAATTGGTCCTTTGTGTGATTCTTGTAGTAACAAAAGAAACCACCATAATTGGTCTTTGAAATCCCCCTCATATTGACGAGTTCAGTTTGGTGTACATGGAAAGTCAATATGAGGGACATCAGTTATGGAGAAATATAATTTTTTTTTTTTTTTTTTTTTTTTTT